GGAGAAGGGAAATGATACTAAAACTTAACTTACATAACATAATGTAACAATAACTTAAAAATAACTTAGAAAAGATTAAAAAAAATTAGTGTTGTTTTATTTATTTATTTATTTTAATTTTTATTCACTGCTTTTTGCTTTCTTTCTTTCACTTCTACCAGCACTTTCACTGGATAGAGGTCGCTTGGTAAAATATCTATCCAAAGAAGTTTGGCTTTGCCTACTTTTTAAAATGTTTCTAAAATGACTTAGGCAAATGTCATTACTTGGAGCAGCAATACGGCCAGTGTGAACCTTTTCGGGATGTTTCTTTTCAATAAAATCAATCACTTTCTGATAATACCTCAAGATTTCCTTTATCGAGCGAGATCCTTCCACAATGAAGCAAACATGCGGACTGAGACCAATGAACAGAAGTGAATAAAAAATGGCGCTGCGAACTAATGTAATGTCATATGGTGAGTTTTTGTTCGTATTGTGGAGCAAAAACATGTTTGAATTTCATGTCGTATCCTGAAAATTTTGTATGCTGGGGTGTTCGTATCTTGAGGTACCACTGTATATTATATATTTAAGTCAGTAGCAAAAACTTGACTAATTAAATATAGTTATAAAGTATCAGAAAATAAAGAAAATATAATAGAAAATAAAAACATAACTGGTTATAGATATTATCTACTTTAGAAAATAGGAACTAAATCAGTTTGCTAAGATAGTCATGATTTTTATTTCATTTAGACATGATTTTTATTTTTTTCCTGATTTCAATGACTTTTGGCTGTTATTCAATAATCTTATAAAATTAATATTTTATGAAACTAATGCTGCTTTTTTGGGTATTTGTAATAAGACTATTTCTGTTGAATTGATAATTTCTTCATTAAATTTTTATTTGGAAATTTATTTTTAAGGAGAATTTTTTTTATTTGAATATGTATTTGAGTATTTTAAATAATGAAATAAAAATAATTTACCTTTTAATTATTGATTTTATAGGTAGTACAGTGGATAACACATCAAAATCTTTATCATCAACTGTAACTACTACCTCCAGTTCTCAGTCATCACCATCACGTCCTGCCAATACATCTACTTCTCGGTCAACGTCAGGATCTGGAATTCCAAGCACACCAAAACTTTCAAAGTCCCCTCCATCAGTCACCCTTCCTACAAATAGGTTGCATACAAGACAGCATTATATATCAGCTGTATATGATTCTGCAATAGGTTCTCAAGAGGAAATTGTAGAAAGAGCTAAGCAAGTAAGTGTAACTAAATGAAATCCTTAAATGGTTTTTAAAATTTCAAATAACTAACTAAAATTTTTAATGTTATTGTTATTTTGAAATTGCTGAATAAATCTGATATTTCACACTGTTAACAATGCTCTGCTTTAATTATGATAAAAAATTTGTTAATGATATTTTTGCTTTTAATCGAAAATTACACTTTAGACTTTAAAATAAAATGACTTCTAATAAGATCAGATTTAAGTTATTTTAAGTGAAGGAAGTTGGGAATTTTTATAATTTTCTTTAATAATATACAACAGAAAACTCAGAAAGAAAAATAACACTTTTCAAAGAAAAGCATTTTATGTTACTGTTATATTTATCTTATGTTTTAATTAACACTTATTAATATTTTAAAATTTCAGGAAGCCTATGTTATGCAAAGAATTTCAGAATTACGAAGGGAAGGATTATGGTCTGCTAAACGACTTCCTAAAGTCCAAGAACCACCTCGTACTAAAGCTCATTGGGATTATTTATTAGAAGAAATGGTTTGGTTAGCTGCTGATTTTGCTCAAGAAAGAAAATGGAAGAAAGCAGCTGCTAAAAAGGTAAAATTTCAGTTTATTATTGTTGTTGTTATCTTATAATGCATCTTCAGAATTTTTCTAATTTTTTAAAATTGCAAGTCATTACATAATGAAATACACATTCAATGATAAAATAAAATATTTATATAATAAATTTTTTATAATGTTTTACCAATTATCATTTGTTAAGCAAGGAATTTATGAATGAGTTATTATTGATTGATTATCTTCTAAATTACCAATTTTTTTTTTAAATTGTTGATATTGCTATTTTGTATTTTGTTTGAAAATTTATCATAATGAACTATAAATATTACTTTTTAACCCTCCGTAAGTCGCTAGGAATGGGGCCCTTACTTGAGTCGCATGGGTCTTACAGACCCAGTGTTTTTAATATGAAATAATTCAATTTTATCTATCGCGTAAAGAAACTACAGTTTCTTAGTTGGATTCTGCGCTTTGTTTTCTATCTAGTGATATAAATTACTTGCGTATTGACAAAATGAATTTATTAATATTTATTTTTATGTAATTCGATACGAAAAACGCAAAAAAATAAACATATCAAATTTCAACTCGCTGTAATTTATCTCCTGTTTCACCGATTGCCATCGGGTTTGTTTGTAAGTGGGGAAGAAATATGACACTTTCAAGCGAAGTGAGTAGAACTTTTGCACTACTGCGAGAAAATTTGTCAACCGACCCCGCGTTACCCCCTACCGCGAAAGTCAATAAACGTTAATTGTTTTATGAC